GGGATACCTTCCACTAGACCAGGTTGCTCCTTGTGTGGAGCCTTGGGAGAGGGAACACACACTCGGGTGGGTCTGGTCACATCCACACAGCAACCAAAAATAGTGGGCAGACCATTGTGGTGAAGGTAAAGGAAGAAAGAGAACCCTGGGGCAGGGTGCAGGCAGAGGCACGAGCTCATGGGAACTCTCAGTTGAGTCCTGAGAGACAAAGCCAGGACAGAGCCAGGCGCTCTGGCTGCCCGGGGCGCTGTGTGTGGTGTGGGAGGTGCGGGGAGCACGGTGTGGGTCACAGTGTGGGGTGCGGTGTGGGGCGTGGTGTGGGTCACGGTGTGGGGCGCGGTGTGGGTCACGTACGTTCTTTGGCGTCCTGGGGAGAGTTGCGCGATAACATTTCACTTCCCCATTTATCCCCAGCGTAGCTGGCAGGTAGCTTGTGAGTTGGGCTGGATGGTCCATATCCCCTGGGGCTCAGGTCTCCTTTGTACCTCTGGTTAGACTGGGTGAGAAAAAAGGAAAGGAAAAAAAAAGTGTAAGTATCTTTTTGGCCATTTTTCATTTTCTTAAACTTTTTGCCTCCCATCCATGATAGCAAAATTGAGGGACAAACTGCCGTGTGCTGATCTGGGGCTGCTCCGCTGAGGCTGATGAGATCTCAGGTGGAGCTGCATGGAAGGAGTTTATTCCTGGGGTCTCATGGGAATGAACAGGACCCAAACCAAAGGCCACAGGCTGTGTGGTGGCATTTACACCCGGTGAAAACACGTCACACTCGCCACACGGAGAGGAGTTACTGCTCATAGACCTTCCTCAGAGATGGAGAGCAAGGGAAGCAAAAGGATTTTTATATGAAAAGAAAACCAAAAATCCCATTTGAAGCTAAAGCATCACTGCTCTAGTAACTGGCTGTTAAGTGGGATCACTGCCAAGGGCCCGGAGCAGTCTGGAAAGAGTTATTTGACATTTTCTTGATTAAACTAACAGGGTTTTTGCCCAGATGCTGCTGGGGCACTTTATGTTTTGCCCAAGCTGTGAATTACCAAAGAGGGGAAGCAATTCCGTGCTTCCTTCGGGCACTTAGAGCTCTCCAATGCGAGGTGCTTGAGAGCAACATTCACTTTATACTTGCCTAGGTGGTATCTCCATCTGCCTCCACTCCTGTCACTTGTTCCTGCTGCTGAACTGAACTGGATGAGGAAACTGGCTTTTGTTTAACCCCCAACAAAAACCTCAGCATTTTCATGTCAACTTCTGCTTTTGTGGGCTGTGTTAGCTCTTTCGAGCCACTGGAGCCCACAGGTATTTGGTGACACCTCAATGTGAGATCTTTTCTCTTGAGATGACAGGTCATGGTGCTAGGCTTGGCGTGGGTGTCCCTTCGAGCCAGGGTCTCACTTCTGAGCAGGCTGCTGCCTGGAGCACAGGGCTCAGCCTTGGCCTGGCCCATCACCCTCCCTGCCAGGCGCTGTTGGCAGCAGGCGACGTGCTTGGTGTCTCCGAGGGGAGGAAAGCACGAGGCTGCCATGGGAATGGGAAGGACAGGCCTCATTTGGGGAGGGAGGAGGTAAACGGTGGCAAAATGTGAGAGTTTTATCACAGGAGACTCAGGAATCTCCAGGATCCTGGGTTGTCTACTTGGGAGGGTTCATCCTGACTTGTGCACAGCATCCTAAGAAATCCAGGGAGTTCTAATGACAGGATTTTTCTTGGAGGTTGATTATGCTCTGCAGCCAATTACCAGTTAAATGTCACCTGCCTACAGACCTGTTCGAGCTCTTCCAGTTTCACCACATCCAGGATGTTATAAGGGACATAACCAGCCTGCCCGCTCCGGTTGAGCAACTTCCACCACTGCTTATTATCTTCCAACACCTAAGAAAGGGGGAAAAAAATAAATTTGCTAGCAAGAACATCAGATTTCTGGCATACAGAACTGGCAGGTAGTGAAATAAACCACACAGTCATGGGAAGTTGTCAGAATAATGTCACTGAGGCTGGGAGCTGGAAACCAGATCTGCTGGAGCTGGAAACCAGATCTGTTGGAGCTGAAAACCAGATCTGTGAGAGCTGGAAACCAGATCTGCTGGAGCTGAAAGCCAGATCTGCTGGAGCTGGCAAACACATCTGTTGTCCCTGTTTGCAATTCAGGACTGAAGCCTTTCCTGAAAAGCATCAGAACTTATCCTGGGAGAGGATCCTGGGGCACAAACAGACCTGGGTGCAGGAGAACTCATAGTTCCTACTTAATTTCTTAATTTGCCTGTTTCTCCATCTTCTCTTTTTTCTTTTTTCCTGAGTTTCTACTGCCTTTTTGCATTAAAGTGATAAAACTCAAGAGTGACTCCTGCCAAAGATACCAGAGTGTTATCACATAATTTGATCCCATTACATCATAACTGTGATGTGACAAGGAGATTGCCCATTGCTGAGACATCTCCTCTTGCACCTGCCCCCCTGCTCCTTTCAGCAGGTTTGTTTTTACCCAGAATTATGATTTTTTATTTAGTTATTTTTAAAGGAATCCTCCCAGAATGGATGAGCTTTGCTGGCAAGACCCACACACATTTCCCGTTCTAGCCACATTTTTGAACAGAAGTCTTTACAGTCAGTGTGTACAAAGTCCTGTCCTACATTCTCCAGCTGCCAACAGCATTGCACTAAGAGAAAGGTTACAAAAAAGGATGTTTTCATAGAAAATAATTCCTTTGAGGGGGAGTGGTGATAATGACCATAGGCCCAGCAGGTGGGTGAGCAGGGTACTACAGGGACTCATTTTCCTTCCTCCTCGTTGCTAATTAAGATGTGGCTGATGTGTCTCAGCTGACAAATGACCCCATGCAGGCAGGCAGCCTGCTCCAGCTCAGACATAAAGCTTCAGGTTTGAGCAAAGCTCCACATTACTGCTCAGAAAACACCAAAAAAGAGCTGGCACTTGGCAGTAGCTTGGAATTTCTGTCCTGCTCCTGGAAAGGAGGAGAGCACAGCTTTCCCTGAGCACATTCCCTTACCTCCAGGATCTCATCCTTCAGCACTGAGAGTTCGTTGGCATTTCGCGCGGTGAAGTCGTAGCGGATTTTGGCATATCTCTTTGGGGGAGCCATTCCCTGAGCCTCGAAATTCCTGCAGGAGATGAAAAAAATACTGAGTTTTAATGGAGGCTCATCTAATAACTTGGGAAAAAGAGGAATGGGGGAGGCTGCGTGCCGGTGCAGGTAGAGAGACAGTTGTGTCTGTGTTAGGAGGGGGCAGTGCCTCTCTGCTACGCTTATTTTGAGGAAGATTTTCACCCCTCATTTTAGTGACACACCCTGTGTTTGGGGAAAATAAAACAAATAAAAAAGGAAAAAACTGTAGGGCTGTTTGGTCAGTGGCCTTATTGGGGGACTGTGAGGCTGCTGCTTTCAGGGTGGGAGAAAAGACTTCTCCCTTCAGCAAGGACTGGGGAGACTGACAAAGCACCAGCAAAATGCTCTGATTGCACCTCCTGTGAAAAATAAGTGTGAAACCCTCATATCCTGATCAGTGGAAACAGCTGCCCCGTGTGCCAGAGCAGGGGAGAGGCAGGCACCAGTGCTGGGGGAATGAGAGCAGGTAGAACTGACTGGAAATCTGTGGGGTTTTTTCATCAGGCAATGAATGCTGAGCTGCTGGAACAGGCTTCTGCGGACTCTCAGCAAAAGTGAGTTTGAATGTTTCACTTCTAATACATATTTGGGGGGAAGAGGAATGTGTTTTAAGTATTTTGCTTGGGGATTTCTGATATGAGAACATGTGGCTTTCAGTGTTGAACTGGCTTTTCATTTGGAAAGAGAGACTAAATATGGTGGATTGTTGAAAATGGTGAAAAAGTGGAATGAAAGATTTCCTTTGACCCGAGCTGAAATGGTTTATTTTTTCACAGTGTTTTTTTTTTGCCTGGCTTAGGAAAATTTTGCAGATTTTTATCTTTTTCTTCTCCAGTTGAGCGTAGTGTTATTTTTTTAATTCCTACAATGTTTGCAGTATGGAAAAACTGTCTTGCTTTGCTGTGTAAAGGCAGGTGGGAACTATTTTAATGTACCTTTTATGGATCTTTCTGCTTATCACTTGCAACTGGCACATCTACCTGATGTAGAAGACTCCTGGGTGCCGTATTCACGGCGGGAATGCTAACAGGGGTCAGGTTCTCCTCCAGTTTATGTCAAGTTCTGTGTAACTCTGTGAAGCCAGTGCTGCCAGCAACTATGGTTTTTAGCCTGATGTTTTTCCAGGGCTGAGTTCTTGTGTTTGGTCAGTGCTTTTCAATCTGTGATCTGTGGAACCTCAGCTGCTGGTGGACTGCTTTTGAGGCCTCTGGGAAACCTGACTTTGAAAAACAAGCCCATTATTCTTAATTTGAGATCATTTTACTGCCTTCATTAGATAGCTTTTGGTGGTCTGAAAAAGGTTGAAAGCACTGGGTCAGCAGTTTGATTTCATGCCTGTGGCTGTAGTGTTGTCTTTAGTTTGCTTGATTTGGGACAGTTCCTGGTGTAGTCCCAACCCTGTGCAAATGGAAGTTGTGACTCTGCAGTGGGGGAGAGCTTGGAGCAGATTTGCACACAGATTGAATCCTCCAGTCGAGAAAGGGAGTGGTGGCCTTACCCAGCAGAGCCCTGCAGGCAGGGAGGGAAGGAAAGCCCCAGTTGGGCAGAAATTACTTCTTTAGTAGCATTCCTGAAGGTAAGTGAGTCAAGAGGAAAGCAGTGAGGGCTGGAGGAGCGTGAGGCTAATGTGTGCTTTGCACGCACCCGGGTTTTACACAGGCCACCTTCACTGATGATTGTTTATTGCTTGGGGCTTTCGTGAGGCTTCTCTGCAAGCAAAAGCCTTGGTGTAAATAACAACACTGATGCGTGGGTATTTTTGTTAATATAGAGTCTCTTGGTTAGAAAATTAGTTCAAACTACTCTGGAAAAAGCATGAGTATAACAGGAAACACGTCTGCCCCGGGTCTGTGATCTCGGCAGCGTCTGGCTGAGCTCTGCTCTGGGCTGAGGAAGGTGTCTGAGCACATTCTCAGTTTGAGCATCTGCTTCAGCACTGTTAACTTTGATGGGGGTTTTTTCTTCAATATTACCCATAAGGAAAACCTGCTGTTGACAGTCTGAAAGGTGGGTAAAAAGGTACAACACCTGTCCCAGGAGAGAAAGGACCCTCACCTGTGCTCACACTGCAGTTAGGCTGGGTGCTGCCAGGGAAATGTCACCTTGCTGAAAAGGTGCCGCTGTTTGTTTGTATTGCAGGACTTGATAGGACTCTCTAGAGGTTGTCTGTGCTGAGACTGACAGAGGAAAATTATCTACCAATCACTAAAGATGGACTGAAATGTTCTCATGTAAACTAAGTTCTCCTTATTTTTCATAACCTCACTGAGAAAAATGGAATCAGAGAAGATAATTTGTTATCATATCTTTTTTTCCACTATTCAACGCTGCATCTGTACCGTCATATGGTCCCACCAGGGCCTTCGATGGGGTGAATGGGAAGAATAAGTTCTTTTGCTGATGTAATTGAATTTTGCTGTGAATTTGAACTTTTTTTGTAGTAGTAGAACTTATAAATCTTTTAGATTAGGACATAAACCCATGAAAAACCAGTCTGGCTTGAAGGCTTTTCCCCAGTCTAGAGCTGGCTACAGACAAGCGCGTGGTTCAGACCTTTGCTGGGTCTGAACTTCCAGTCTTTAACAATTTAGAGTTGAGACCTTCATGTCAAATGACAGCACAGCGCAGTAAGGCAGAGAATTCATTTGCAAGTTGTTGGAACTTATTGATCCCTGAGAAATGTCAAAGGTGTGAGTGTATGGAAACAAGCAGCAGATGAAAAGCCTCTCAGCTCTGAACCAGAAGTACCTGCATACAGATTTTATAGCAGGGAGCAGCTGGTGATGGAAAACCAGAGAGTGTTTGGTTAAATTGTGGAAAAGCCAGCTTACCCTTGGGAAAAGGGGTGAAGCAGAGGGGTGACCTGGCTGGTTCTGGGTTGGGAACTGAACTTTCTAAGACCCCTGAGGAAAGGGGAGGAGGTTTTTTCCTCCCATTTTCTGGGTTTATCTCATTAAGAAGAGTTCTATGAACTCAACCCCCTGTCAGTTTCCTGATGGAGAGATGGGCAAGACCAGAAACATGTTCTAGTTTTATTCAGCCTGTAGTAAATGTGTTTTGTTTTGTTTTTTCCTTTGATTGTGTCGAAAAGCAGAAGGAGGAGCTGCTGCTTCCAGTGCAATAAAATGGCACTGTCTCCGCTAAGGTGTTAAAATGCTGAGGCCAGGCTGCTCTGTCCCAGCACTGGGGTTTTCAGCAGCAGAGATCTTGCACACCTTCGGGCCTTCCTACAGATTCCTCCTACGAGCAGGTGCTTTCCACACAAGCTCTTGTGCCTTTAGGATGAGTGGAGAGACACAAACTGCTCTCAACTGATGGAGAACAAACGTGCAGCGCGGTGGCTTTGTCACATGAGCCTTAATGCGCCTTTGGTGGGCTGAATTAATGAAACATGACACACTGATTGACTAACGAACTCGGTCTGTGCTTTTGCCTCTTGTGATGGAAAACACACGTAACCCATTTCCCCAGAGACCTGCCCCTGGTGATTAAAAAGCAGACAGTGTTTACATGAAAAACCTCTCATCTGATCCTCGAGTTCTCTTGATCTTGTTAACAAGTCTGAATTAATAATGGGAGAGAGTTCCCTACCAGGATGCCACGACATCCTGGTGTCACCATGTGTTGCAGTGGGTGTTGGTGAGGGTACGAGGTGGGAGCTGAGGGTGGTGCTGGTACGTTACCTGTTGACATGCTGAGTCACGTTCTGTTTAAAGGCGTCCACAGCTTGTGTCTGATCAGCGGCCTGGCCGCGCTTGAGCGAGGAGTTACGGTAAGGATATCCGTTGGCTGATGAGAGCTGGCAAGGTAACAATGGAGTCAGTGTCACCAGGAAAGGAGAAAGAGGAGACTAGTAGATAAATCATGGCCTGGAAGCTTTTGGTCACAATGAAGCACACACCAAAAAAGTGTTCTTCAGGCAAACCTGTGTCTGTGGAACCTGGTTAAGGTTTGGTGTCCTGTCTCCTGTTGAGCAGGAGGTGAGGTTGAACACTGATGCCCTTTTCTGGACTTACTTTCTTTCTGTGTTTAACTGGAGTGACCAAATCCAACCGAGTTTTGAACCAACTACTTGTCACATACCACCCCAAACTCCACAGATCCATCCTTCCCTCTGGAAAAGGGGCAGGAAGGGGGGATGACCAGGGGCACCAGACTAACCTCTTCCTGCAGGTGTCCGATGTCTATTTCCCAGGGAGCTCCGCGGAAGATTTCCATGGGTGGTTCCCAGCCGTTGCGGAATTTGGGGATGTAGGTGGGGATGTTTGCTTCTCGGGGCCACTCAGCTCTAGGAGATGAAGGGGGGAATATGCAGTGAGAGTCAGAAGGAACGTGTCTCTGAAAGCATGTCAGGGAGGAGGGGGGACGTGAGGGTATCCTTGACCTTCTGACATGGCTATACAACCCAGCATCCTGTCTGCCTTTCTCCAGAGCTTGGGGAACCTGGTGAGATGGCAGCTCTGTCCTCACCTGGATCTGGTCCATGTCTCTCCCAGGGAGTCCCAGAGGTTTATCTCTTTTGGTGTCAGGTGTCCTCTGAGGAAATCTGTGGCGTCTTTCGAGAGAAGCGGGCTGGTGACAGACCTGGCGAGCTCAGGGCCACCACAGCTACTGACTATCTGGATTACAAACACACAAGCACAAAAATATGTGAGATTTTGCAGGGAATGTTCAAAATACCAAACAGCACACACACAAAGGAAGAGAAATCAAAGACAAAAATCAGTGGCTCTGATCCTTTGGGATCTCTGTGCCTGCCCACTCCAAAGGAAACCAATGTCCCCTCCGTGGTGAGTACCTCTAAAACCAGGGTAATTCACAGGACACTTGCACTTCCAAAGTTCTCCTCTGTGCCTTCATATGTCAGGGTGAGTTTTCACAACACAAATGAACTAAATGAATGGCTTGCTGCTACCTTAGAAGGATGCCATATCCCTCAGCATCCCCTGACTGGCCTTGCACTGCACTCAGAGCACTTGATTGGCAGATTTTATTAAGAAAAAGGAAATAGACAAATAAGGCAAATAGTTCCTGACTAAGTTCTCCAAGGTATAAAGTGAAAGGCAGAGGGCAAGCCTTCATGCCAAGGGATGGCCTGACTCCTGCTGACAGCAGCTAATCCTTAGATCAACTCAGTTGTCTCAAGAAACATCAACTGAAATCTTTGAAGAAGACTGGGCAGTTGAGAGGAACACAAGAACGTCTCTATTGGAGTCAAAGCAAGGTCTGATCTCAGGATTATCTGTTGTTGGAGACAGGATGTATCGTAAGCTGGTGCTTTAAAAAATGGCAAATCACTCGGTATTTCTCTGTCCCTTCTGGCTTCTTTTTCAAGTTGGGATTTCTGCTTTCTATTTTCAATGCAAACATTGAGCCCTGTTTGCTTGAAGGTGGTGAGATCAGGCAGATTCCCAACGGGAACCATAGCTGGCTTGTGCTTTTGTTCACGGGAAGTCGTTGTTAATGAGGTGGGAAATTCATATTTGCCAGGGTTTGTGTATTTAGCTCAAGCTGGAAATCAGCTCAGAGGCCAGAAACACCAGCACTGCTGCTTCTAGACTTTACTGAGAAAGCTTTAGCTGGTTGTGAGCTGTCTTCTAACTCTTCTGCCTAATTTAGCTGCCTCTAAGTGTGAAAGCAACATTAGAAAGAAAAAGTGAGTTCACAGTGAACCCTGTGACTCGGGTTTACCAGTTCCAGTGGTCCAAACAGGAAATGCACCAGCTCGGAAGCGCTGGGGTTCTGGATGTGCTTTCTCAGTTTGGCCTGAAAAGAGAAAACAAGCCCAGTTTGATCCTAACCTGGTTTTTGCCTTCTCTTTCCTGTCAGCTGGAGGGATTGTGGCTGACTGATATTTGCTGTAGTTAATGACACAGCCGAAAGAGTGAGGACACTGTCAACAGTGGCTCTGAAATCGGGGAAGAGAGAGTGACTGGGGAGCAGGAATCATTCAGGTTTAGATAATTTTTTTGTGTCCATTTCCAGCTGAATTTCAGGAGGGGTGGAGTACTGACTCTGTAAAATCCGTCCCTTTGAAGCTATTTGGAGCAGAAGCAGAAAACCTTGTCTCATTTTGAAAGTCTTGGTGAGGAAGGGCCGGGCCTATTGCTTCTGACTCTTGTAAAGTTGAAAATCCCCTTAGTTCCCATGAATGGAAACAACAGAACAAGTGTTTTGTGGGGTCCCTTGGCAAATTGCTGATGAGGAAAAACCCCCACCCAGGTCTTGCCTGCAGCACCCAGTGCTGTCCTGGCCACCGAAATGTTTGGTATTTGGAGGAGACTCTGGTGGGATGGAGGAGCAAACGCTTGGGATGAATCAGTTAATGGGTTTGTGTGAGAGCCGTGAGTGCTGGGCAGAGCTGCCACCTCCGAGGCTCAGCTCTGGGCCTGAGCAGGCAAAGATATATGCACATTTGCTTCTGGAAGAAAAGGCTGGAGCTTGGTGTCCACATGAAGGTTGTTTACAACCTCTGTGGTTTCCTTACTAATAACTTCTCAGGAAGGATCGTGTTGGGCTGCGTTCACTGGGCAAGTTTGGTCAGAATTTGGGACAGAATTTCCTCTGACTCGTTACCCTCCCGGTCTCACTTCGCTAAATGGAGATGGCAGCACTGGGAACATCTTTATGCTCCTGCTTTTCATCCCCTTCTTAAGATGGCAGCTTCTCCAGGGGAGAAAGAGAGAAGCCAGGAACCTTGGGGCAATGGGGGTCATCAGTTATTGTTAAGCAGAGACTTTCTAGTCCTGGTCTTTATGCTTCTAGTTTTGGTTTAAGAACTTGGCCTAAGAAATCTGGACAAGCCTGGCACATTGATGAATCTGAAATTCACCCCTTTGTCCCCTGATAGTGTTTTCAGTTCAATTTCCCTTTAATTGCTCACTGCTGTGATATACGGGGAACAAACCCATTCGCTGCATGGGACAGAAATACCCTCTGTGTCTCACCAGGAGGTTAAAAGCCAGTTTGGTTTTCTGGAAGCAGTCGATGAACTCAGCCTCGCTTGGGGGTCTTGCTCGAAGAGTCAGCATGCCCTCTATCAGGAGAAGGTGGAGAGACAGACACTTGGATTAGAGCATCCCCCTTCAGAGAAGTTTAATCTTGCTGGCATGCAGGAGACCCAGCAATAATGGGTGCTGAGACTAGAACTACTAAAAATCCAGGGTTCAAGAAAAGCCAGAAGTCTTTCTGTGTTTTGGAGGCTTCCCTAGACTCTGCCTGCCCTACAGGAGGTCCCCACAGACCAGCAGCACCTTCCAAACTGGTGTAGCTGCTGTTGGGTCCATAGCTGTGCTGCTGCATCAACCTGGCCTTGCTGGAGTGTGAGCTGAGGTCTCCTCCTGACCTTCATCCCTGCCCCCATGTCCCCTGTGTGTTCTAGCCGCTGCTCTGTACCTGCTGGCCCTTTCTTCTTGTTCTTCTTCCCTTTCTTCCTTTGGTTGAGCTGTTTGAATGCTTCTGCAGCCTTCTGAAGCCTGGCGACAAACACTTCGATGTCATCCAGGGTGCAGTTCAGGATTTGCTGTGAGGACAGAAAGGCAACAGACCATGTGAAGGAGAAACCAGACTGCACGCAGCGTGCGGCTCTGTGCCTGCCTCGTCTCCTGGAGGGATGCACAGGGATGGGGAACCCAGGCATGAAATGCAGCTGAATTCATCACTTCCCAAACACAAAGCTGGGCCTGGCTGTGTGCTGCAGCTGTCAATGTGACAAGTGACCCCTGCTAATGGACGTCTGGAAAACAGCCCCAGGAGCGGCCTGTGGCCTGGGGAGGAGCAGACCTGAAATCAGCAGAGCTACCACAGGGTGAGGGCGACTGTAACTGACCCAGGGAGGGAGCTTTGCTTTTGTTCACCTCATCTTCATGCACAGCAGATATCAGTTGAACAATGGCTACGTTGTGCATAAAATGTCTGCTTGTGGAGGAGCCCCTCGCTCCCTCTCTCTCGTCTCCTTGTCCCTATTGACTGTGCACTGCTCTGGTTACCAACCGTTTCTTTTTCAATCTTCTGTGCCAGGATGGCTCGGGACTCCTCGTGGTCGTGAGAGCCAGAGCCTCGTCGATCGTAATCTGCAAACAAGGGAGGGACAGAAAAATATATTAGAGGTTGAAAATTGGCTCCATTCAATGCAGGGACCTATGGGATGGTCACTCCCAGCTTGGCTGTTTCTCCTGGGTTCTGAGAGCACCTCAGGAGATCCCAAAGAGCAGGAGATGATCAAAGTTCTCGATTAAATCTTTGGAGATCACAGCACCTGCCTGCCAGCCCTGTGTCGATACACGGCCTGTTTCCAAATACAAGCAGTGGATGAATCATGAAGAGCTGCCAGCTACGGGCAGAGACCTGCCAGCCCTGGTCTGCAGCTGCTGTGAGTCACTGACTCCTTCACCCTTGGTGCATCTGAGCTGACTGACGCCTGCAGAGGAGCTGAGGAGCCACCACAGAGCTCTCCACGTGTACGTACAGTGCAATTAGAGGAACTCCCACCCTCTCTCCTCACCCCCAGCTCTCCACAGGAGCCTTCCTCGTCCCAGAGGTGCCAGTTTAACTAAACAGGAGTTGAGGGAGGAGAAATAAAACCGGGAAGTGAACGCAACTGTCACTTGCTAAAAGCAGCATGCCAGGAGTTCTGCGTGACTGGGGTGTGGGTGGCTCTGTGCACAAATCAGTGTTTTTGTACAAACCCATGTGCAGTCTCTCAAGTGTTCTTAATGGGTATAAATAAAATCCTCCTGCAATAAAATCCGCAGGCACCTCCCCGGTTCCAGAAGGTGCTCGGTGAGGGGGTGACATTTCAGCATGAGCAATTGCTGGGTGGCCTCTTGTGAAAAGAGCAGCGTGTCAGCTGGGTGAAACGGGCTTTGAAAGGGCCAGCACAGCAGGATTTATCAAGTGGGAGAACTGGGGAGGCAGTTTTGGCCAAGGGCCATGAAAAATGTCCATCATCTTGGAGCGTTAAGATGAGGTGATTAGTTTTGACAGGCTTTGTAGAAAATCACTAAGGTGTGTTTCAAAGGAGGAGCAATCTCAACAAACAGGCATCACTCAAAGCTTTCTCCTGTCACCTGCTTTCGTGCCAGGACCCATGTTCTCAGATCCAGCGGTCCTGCCTGGGTGAGTGCCCAGCTCTGCTGGTGTGAGCCAAGGACTGAGAGCTTTACACCGAGCATCCTGGGGAGGGCAGTTATGGGTGGCCATTTCATGGCAAAAACTGCTGTGTGTCAGGTAGAGATGGTTGTACACGGTCCAGCTCTGAAAGATCTGATCTTATGGTCATTACACAGAGCTGGACCTCAACCAGGCTGCTGGATCAGCTGCTTGGCTTCAGATCCCATCCCAGGGAAATGAGTCTTTTCTCTCCTCAGCTGGTGGTTGGAGTCTCTCAGTCTCCTGATTACATTTTTTCCTGGAACTCAGAAATTAATCCTAAGAGAAGGTGATACAATAGGCAGTGATAAAAAAGGCTTACAGTTTGCTCATCGTTTTAGTCAATTGGAGCTTTTGTCAAAGAGCTTTTTTCAGTTACCAGAGGCTTATTTCTGTGACTTCTTTCTCCAAAGAGAAATAGAAGCTTTTTCAAGCCAGCTGAAATGGGCTGAAGTCAGGATGGCTTTGGAATAAGATTTTAGATTAGCACACAAGAGAGGTGAGCTGAACTCTAGGAGAATCTGTGCAAAGCTCTTGATTTCTGAGGGTGAAACCTTAGCTCCTGTGAAGTCAGCTGGGCCAGGAATTTGCCTTTCTCACCAGGTCTGTCTTGTCTGTGTGTCTTAAGATCACCAGTGCCTGGTCCAAGCTTCATGTGATTGTTTTGTTTTATGAGGGACTTCCACCTCTTTTGGGAATTTCAGGATCTCCGAAATACAGGTGTCATTATAAGGAATTTCTAGGAGCTGTGATTTATTGAGCTGCCATTGAGAAGATGCCTGTGACTGGCCCAGTGAGTAGAAATGTTTGCTGCAGCCCAGTTTTTAGGCCTTTATAAAGCACAGCCAGAGATTCTGCCTTTGGTCTGCATCCATCTCTGTTATGGTATCACACAGTGAAACGACACTGGGCTTCCCTGTGGCCCAGCAGTCCAGGGCCTGAAATGCCCACTGGCCACTTGAGGAGGGTTGGCTGGCTGGGCTAACCAGTCCCCAGGCCCCAGGACAGGGTTTCTGAGCACTCCCAGTACCTGGATTGTGCTGGGAAGGGGGTGCCACCCGGTTCTTGTTCATCCCAGAGCCTCGCGTGTCGTGCTGGATGGGGATGGGAGCCGGCCCTTGGGGCGGTGGGAGGATGGATTGTCTCTGTCTGATCTTCTCTTGGTTTGCTCTGCAAGAGAAACAGCGCAGAACAGCCCCGTCAGCAGCTGCTGATGGTGTTTCTGAGGCGGGTGTGCCAGTGCACCACTGTAAATGGGGCTTTTCTCTTTGCTTTTCTCACCCCCAGCTGTATCCTGGAGCACTTACTTGAGTGTCTGTGGCCGTATCTTCTTCCCATGCTTGTGGTCTGCCAGGGCACTTTCTATGTCCTCGTGAACCATCTCCGCCTCAAAGATAAAACAGAGATGTTTTAAGGGGCTTGGCTTTGGAAAGGCTTGAGGGCTGTGAGCGGGCAAAGGAAGCAGGGGCTCACGGAGAGCTGGGAGCACATTTTGTCCTGTGTTTCACACCCTGTTTCACGCTCTGCTCACCTCCACCTCATCGCAGTTGAAGAAGTGGATGTCGGGTTTGTGCTGCTCTGAATCCTGGCACACCAGGAGGAGGATGGAGGAGTAGCGCATCTGATTGAGCACGGTTTGGCAGTGCTGGACTGTCGGCAGGGGGAAATCCTCCAGCTCCTCCTGGAAAAGAAAGAGGAAGGGGGGTCAGGCAGTGGGGGACTGTTGAGCTGGTGGGGAATGGTCCTGTGTGTGCACTCCTGGGATCTCTGTTTGAGGAGAGGGACCTGGCACAGCTTGTGCTTCTCTGCAGTGGTTTGCTGGGCTCTTCAAAGACCTGTCAGGGTTTGCAGAGGGGCGGTGGCTTGGGACTGTGGAACTGGAGAGAGATGGATGGAAACAGAGCTGAGCTCTTGTTCTCCTCCCAGCCCTAAATACAGGGCCCAGTGTGAGACTTCAATAACCTGAGCTCACCATTGTCTCATTGCTGTGCCATACCTGCACCAGTACACTCGCCATGCGCCCCAGCAGAGCACTGGGAGGAAAGGTGCTTTCTGTCTCCATGGATGACCTTGGGCTAAGATTCTTTAGTTTCTCATTGTTAAAATCAGGGCAGCATCATCCTTCTCCCACTGTCTGGCTGCTCTTTCCCCTCAGATTAGGTGCCTTTTGTGCATGTGCAGGTATCACCTGTCAAAATGGGCCACTTTTCTCTGCTGTGGGTTATTTTAGTGTGAGGAATCTGTCCTTCCTTCTCTGCTGATGTTTTACACAGGTCTCTGTGGACCTGTAAGTCCGCAGCACTCCCACAAAAAGCAGTTTTCCTGTAAGCCCGGAGCACAGCTCGAGGTATCTTTCACCTGGAGTATCTGTGCTCTGGGGCAGTGAATAAATCATCCCACACCCACCTGCCCTTTGAATTAGAGTCAGCCAGCCCCTACACACCCAGCAGTGGATTTTGGTGGTGATTCCCCCTTCTTTGGGTGCCTTAGAAATGGTCCTCCCAGGCAGAAGGGGACGGGCACAGACTGCACCCCACACATGGACCTGTGGGCGGCTCTCGCGGAGCTCTGGGTACCTGCGACTCGCAGTCCAGCAAGCGGATGGACTTGTCGTTCACTTGCAGCAGCATCTCCTGTGTCCAGATCTTCTCTTTTGAGTTGAGCAGGATGAGTTTTCGGATAGCATCATCCACCGTCACGATGGACTCGCTCTTGTCCATGATGAAGGTGGCCAAGTGCTGAAGTTGAGGAGGGGGAAAGGAGGAAAAAGGCAGTTAAAAAAGCTTTGCTGGTGTGTGTATGATAAATCAGTGGTGAAACCATCTTTAGAGGCTTGAACTGGTGTTTGTTCTTTACAGCTCAGGCCTGAAAGAGTCGCTGCAGACACTGTGTGTTCTGGTTTAGTACCAGCCTGTCCATAGTGGTGGAAGATGAGGGGTTTGTGATGCAGCGAGGGTTCTCATAACGAGTTTCCCCACTTGCATATTTATCTCATCACATGTCAACTCGAGCAGCTCTGGATCCCATCCAGCAGCTCATGTTTGTACACACGAGTCAGTCCCCTGGCTTTTCTGAAGCTGGCCTGGAAGTTTAAACACTCCAGTTAAACTTCACTTGCCGAGATGAAAGCACTTGCATTTTGCCTGTCTCACGCAGGAGATCTCCCTGCAGGGAGTTAGTCCCAGGCAAAGCCATGGGCAAATGTCAGTGCTCTGTGCTGAGGTGGGGTCCATGTGATGCGGGGGCTTTGGCCAGGTCCTCTGCCCCGGGTAATTCAACAGGCACTACAGCTGCACCAGGGAGCTTCTGTGCTGCAAAGCCACCCGGTCTGCAAGGCAGCTCTGAACCCGGCAGCTGGTTCTGTGCCAGCTCTTCAATCCCCCACAAAAGTACCCCCTTGAGACAGTGAGAATTGGCCTCGCTGGCTGTAAGAAGGGATTTTTTGCTACTTGTCTCTGTCCTGTGCTGTGGCTTTGCTGGATTACCCTGGTTTTCCTCTCTCCCTCCCTCCACCTGTCCCGTAAACCCAGCCTAGTGCTCTTCACAGCATCACCTCGACTGGAAAAGCCCTTTCAGCTCATCGAGTCCAACCATGAACCCAACACTGACCAGTACCCAACTAACCCATGTCCCTCAGCACTGTGTCTACACTCTTCCCACTACCAGCCCAGTTTCCATGCCTGGTGTGTGCAGGCGGGCCAGGAGCAGCTCAGGTGAGGTGGTAACATCCCAGAGGTGGCTGCGCTCGCCTGCTGTCCCGTCCCTGCTCTGACCTGTCATGAAGCACACGGAGATCCGCGCCTTGCGCTTGGCACTCGTCTTTACAAAAAGTTTGTGTAGTAGAGCTGCATCTGCAGGCTCAGACTGCTCCTGGGGCGAGGGCAACGCCAGGCAGGACAGGGAGGCAGCTGCAGGAGGAATTGTGTTGCCTCCAAGTGCACGTGTCCTCCAGCAGTGGGTGAAGGCTGCTCCAGAAACCCAGGTAATTTATATCTCTCTGCTCTGAGCAGCAGCTGCTCTCTGTGGATGAGGAGAACGTGCGTCTGCCAGCAGAGGGGACTGCAAGGCAGGAGGAGCTGGGAGCGTTGTCTGCGCAGAGCAGCCAGGCTGATTCCTGTGCCAGCGACTGCACAGCGAGGCCACGTGTTCTGGTGACAACAGGGGAAGGGAAAAAATTCAGGAAGGAAAAGGAAATGGTCCTGTTTCACCTTGTCTGCTCTGCTGTGTCCTGGTGAGGAGAAGGGAGGGAGAATGTGCCCAACTGGGAAAGCTTTTCCCTGTCATAACCAGCTTCCTCCAGGAGAGGAAGGCAGGAGGTTTTTGGATGGACAAGTTACAGACCTGACTGACACATGTGAGCCACGGCCAGTCCAAGGGGCTGCTGCTGGGAGGCTCATTGAGCCAGGGCCCGGCTCCTTCTCTCTTCCCTGGAATATTTCTGGCCCATCCACCAGTGTGACCCTCTCACCTCGCTTCTCCTACTCAATAGCACTGTGATAAGTAAGAGGTTGCTGCTGGATGAGCTGTGGAGCAGATGAACCCCTCTGGCAGGGGGAGCCGGGTGCTGAGGGTGGAGCAGATGCATCCCACCCCTGTGCTGTGGGGCTGGGGGCAACGGCACGGCACACCCAGGAACAGTCCTGCTGGGCATCCAGTGCTTGTGTGGATGGTGGCAGTGGAAACTCCTGCTGGTCTGGGGTGCACAGATCCTGCAGCCTGGTTTCAATGCAGGAGCTGGGAAAATGGGGTGTGTTTAAAGCAATGGGGATGTGAAATTAGGAGAGGTTCTTTGTTGTCTCCTGTTCAGGGATGAGTTTTGCCTGGCTTTTCTCCCTCTGATCTCTTGTCTTTGTGCCTTCTCCCAGGGATCAGACATAACCCTTTTAGGGTTTAAGCAATTTGTTTCTGGTGCTGACTCTTTGCTGGTGCCATATCAGGGGTCAGGGTCCAGCATGGCACAAAAAGACAGTCTTTGTCCCAGAAAACTAGCAAGCAAGAGCTACTAAACACAAGCAGAGAAAGGGAAAGGGCTGGGGGAAAATCTCTCTGTTCCCAGGAGCAGCCTCAGCTTGTGAGATGATTAAAAATAATGGGGTTTTTTTGTCATGGGTGGTGTCCAGGGTAGGAAACGCCTCAGAGGGGAACGGAGGAGGGCCAGGGAGTTGCAGAGACGGGAAAGGGCAGAGGAGAGGGTCAACGCTGCGGAGCGTGAGACCCAAACCTGTGTTCAGAAAGCAAAGGTATGGGGCGAGGCGCTGGCTAAATAAACCCCTGGCAGGTATCTGAGCTGAAAGCTGAGATTAACCCTGCAATCAGATATGAAAACGTGCTCAGGTGTATGATACTGTAACTGTAAAAGAGTGCATGGAAAGGCATTCGCAGAGTCAGTATTATCTGTGCAGAGGTGACAAGCCCTCTGCTTTCTGAGCAGTGAAGAGAATTGGTTTATACCTGATGACGGGCTTCCTTATCTGTTCTATTATTTTAACTGCCAGCTTTACAATCTTCATAAATTCCTTTGTTGTTTACTGTTAAGTAAGTTAATTTTCCTGGGGGGGGGAAATCTACTTGTCTAGATCAGGCTCATTAGAATATTTTTTTTTCCTACTTTCCTTAGATATTGGTGGAGTGAGAAGTAGGGAAGCTTACTACTGCCTTTGATTTATCTCATTAAAACCCTTTTCATCCAGATGGATATTCAAATACAGTCCCTTTTGTAAGAATGGGCAATGACTCCGTCCACTATTAAACTTTGATCAGCTTATAGATTACTTCAAAGGGTATAAAATGCCTCTTGTGAGGAAACCTCTTCCTACCTCACTGCCTGCCGCTGAAATCCTGTTTGCCTTGGTCAAAGTTCAAGGTAGGGACTCACCAGTGGGTGGCATAGGGCATAATTAATGGGAGAATTCAGAGATGTGTCACTGTTTAAAGTCCCTTCTCTGCTGCCATGAGTGACTTTATTTGGTAGGAGTCACTGATGGGCTGGCTGGCCATCGAGTTAGTTTCTCTGATGGAAACCAGGGCCTCTTTCCAAACAGGCATTTTTAAAACTCTAAATTTAACTTTAAGCAACTCACCAGGCTCCTTTATTTCTAGCTGGGTACTTCAGCTCTCTGCTTGGGCTGGGGTCTTACAGCAGAGAGGGGAGGGCCCTGTCCCCTAAATATAAACCTCATGAAGTGTTTTCCTGTCTCACCTCTCCCAGTTCTCAGTGCTGAATGGTCCAGCTGGCCTGACGGGCACCTCTGTTCCTGTGGAACATGGTGGTCCACGAATCGCCGGACCCGGGACGGCCAGGCTGGCTCCTCTTTTTTTCTAAGTGGATGTCTGTGGCACTGGGAGATGAATTTGGCTGAATGCCTGTCATGGTTGAAGGGTTTTGAATTACCTGAGAGGACACAGTAGCTGAGGGAGAGCTGAAAGATGATAGTGGATGTGGTCTGTGTTGTTTGAGCAGATGAGTTCCTGTAACCACCATGGGAACTCTGCTTTTAACCTGTCTGTGCTGATCAGGAAGGGTTTGAGGCACAGGGTGATGAGGGGGACAACAGCTCCCACTGCTCTCCTTCAAATGCAGAGGAGGGAGGGAGGACAACAGCTTCTGCATTTCCTGTTTCCTTGCACAGAATTGGAAGGGACCTCAGGAGATCATCCAGTCCAACCCCCCTGCCAAAGCAGGTTCCCTACTTTTTACACCAGGTTGCACAGGAAAGTGTCCAGGTGGGTTTGAACATCTCCAGAGATGGAGACTCCACACCCTCTCTGGGCAGCCTGTCCCAGGGCTCTGTCCCTTGTCTTTTTAAAGTCTTTTTTCCCTCCATTCTCCCCAATTACTCAACACTTTTAATTTGTTGAATCTTGATTATTCAGAAAGAAAATAAATTTTTGATAAATGATGGGTTTGTACACCATTTTCAATTTAAATAAGTAGAAAAGAGGTCCATGTGTAATTAAACCCACTTTACATTCTTTAATGATCATTTTTGTCCTCCCTTCTTGTCCATCATTTCCCATCTGCAGGCTGTAGTGACACAAAGTGTCTCCACAGCGAGTCCCTGAGACAGTGACCTCCCAAGCACATGTCACACCCCACAGCAAAGGGACAGAGTTGCTGACTTCAAAACGGCCCCAGACACTTGCTTATTGTAAGAAGGTTCTTTTTTTGCTGAAGGTCCAGGACAACCAGGACACATGGCATTGCCAGTGCCTGTCACTGCCCTTGGCCTTTCAGCCCTCAGCGTGTCACCCCGTGCTCACCTGTACGTGGTACTGTGAGGTCTCGTGCATGATGACATTGGAGTTGGAGTATTTTTTCCTTTGTTCTGTAAAAAAAGAAGAAAGCAGGGTTTCACTGTGGTGGCTGTTATCAGGATGTCGGGCTCTGAGAGCCACAGCTCATGGGGCTCTGAGAGCCACAGCTCAGGTGATGGGGTGCTGCAGACTTTCTCATAGTCTCTGAGCTTCCAGCGTCAGTCGGAGTGTTGGGAACAATAAGACATATTAATGATATTAACTTTTGTAACAAGGACTGGCCAATCAGGGGTGTAGTGTACAACTTGTGTCCCTGAACGCTGCTGCTGCTGCTAATTTGATTCCTGGTGGTTGGCACCATTTGTGGAGGAAATTAAACCTTGTGTAAAAGAAAGCCCCAGCCGAGGAGGAATGGTTAGGGAAGCTCTTGAAGAGGTCTGGGGAAGTGAGGAGGGGGTTCAGAAGGCTGGCAGAAGGCTATGACATTATAAGGGATTGCTTATAAATATCTTGCTTAAATAGCATATATATATATAAAAAAATACATAGATATTAAACATATAAATATTATATAA